CCGGAAGATGGGCGAAGTGCAAAATTCATTAATCCCGAGTGTCATACAGCATCGTCAGAGCCCTTTCAAATCTACTAATATTCTTATAGATCTTGGTCCTAAAATTTCGCATTCGTTACATCCTGGTCCTTCAGCGGCGGCTAGGCGAGGCGCCCATTTTGTAATGCCCAAGGTTACAAAAGGATTAAATATAAAAAGGCAAAACTTTCCCTGTAACAGACCACGGAGGGCCATAGGATTGTGAGACGTCGAGGCTCCCACATTTTCTCTAGACAATCCGCTTACAGATGGCGGTAAGGTTGTAGCCTTACGCATCAGAAGTCATTTACGCCCAGGAAGATTCCTGATACTCATTTCTGTTACAGGCTGAATCGATCCCAAGGCCATAGTGCGGCTGGAATGAGTAGGTCAATTGAAAAATCCAATGACCTCATCGGGAATCCAACTAGCGACCTTCCGGCTTGTAGCATAGTGCCTGAACCAACTACGCTACTGCGTGTCCCTAAAGGATTAAATTAAACTGTTTATAAAGGTAATTAATAGCAGCTACGCTCCAAATAAATTCAATTTACGACAGTTATTGTCGGATAATACTGACCTCAATCGGGCTTTGTGTCCCGCGGGAGCCGTCTGTTAGGATTAGAATCGATTCGGCTGTAGGAAGGCAATGGAGGTAACCATACTAACAGAAGTTGCAAGTACACAGGGGCTGAGTGTCTGGGATTCAGTGGGCTATGGGAACATTGTGCTATGTAAAGTTCAGGAGGTCATATCATGTCCCTCCGGATTCAAAGCAGGTGGAACTGCAGAATTCTCCCATCCGTAATCGCCCAGTGAGAGAAGATGGACGCAGATTTCGTAGGAGCAAAACATTTTAGTATAATTACACCATCAATTCGTCCACTTTTTTTTGTGCTCAGTGAATGAAGTGTAATGGGCCAGGTGATGTTTCTCCATACATTTATGCCACAAAGCTCTTCAGAGAACGAGATTAAATTGATCAAACGGTGGGTCGCGACCCTATCGGGTCACTGTGCCCCCTAGAATTATTTAAAATATTCTCACGATTTAGAGGAGTGACTATAGACGGGGTATGAATTGGATATTTGATTTATTTACACCACTCGGAACTACAAGCAATATCAGCGTCACCGTTGATCTCCACACAAAGATCTTTCCAGCCTGCTGTGCCTTAACCAGTCGTTCCCTGGCAACAGCTTCTAACAACAGATTCTACAGCTTCCCGTGCTCAGGCCCTTGTCACAGATGCCCGTGCAGAATCCTTATCAACTGACAACTCAACTAACTGGGTCCCAGGCTGGCTGTCATTTCAGACCAGCCTCCTAGTCACCTCTTCACGTGCTGACTTCCGACTGACAAACTTAACTTGATTGCCACAATTGCCAATTTTGCACGGACCGAAAAGAAAACACCGTTTCCAGCGATTTCTGTATTGTTATTACAGGCCGTTATCCATCCATTGCTTAGAAACGGGCGTTTGTTAATTAGTGTATTGCACAGCAACGGCTGTACTCGTTACAATGTGGTTGTACCCACGCAGTGTGTTTGTTCCTTCTACAAGTCGGACTATCTCCCGGTAAAATGGCGTTACAACCCACCGCTGGGAGAACATCAAATGCAACAATAAATTTACCTCTGGCTGTAACCAGGAAATTAGACTGGCCTACATACTGTCTGTGTGACAACAGTGTTGACACCATTCATTGTTCTTATCATCATAGCTCTTTCCCTTGCTGTTAATTTACCATAAGGCAGTAATTTGTAACTAGAGTGTATTCAACCGAGTTGCCAACACAAACTTTTTTTTATTTATTTTAGATTTTATCAATCAGAATATTACATAATTCTATAAGCTAAAGTGCTGATTACTCATTAGCTATACTAATGACTAGTGGCGTGAACAGGTTGATATCCAGCGAAATCACCTGTATAATCTATGATTAGTATCTATACATTAACTTAAGAGTAGTTCAGTTGGCCACAGTTTTTTGAGTCTTTTGTTGCTTATTGATTCCATGAGCTGATTGGGGTGGTTTTCTATGGAATTATGATGTGTGGTGGCTTTCTTGCGTATCGCTTCCTGTACTGTTGGTACCTGAAGATCTGTATGTAGTGTATGATTTGTTACGTACCAGGGAGCATTAACAATTTGACGGAGTATCTTGGATTGGGATCTTTGTATGATTGCAACATTTGATTTAGTTGATCAGCCCCATAATTCTAGTCCATATGTCCAGATTGGTTCGATAATTGTTTTATATATTAGAAGTTCGTTGTCTGCAGATAATCGTGAATTTCTTCCCAGTAACCACTGTAACTCCAATGTCTTGATGTTAATTTTTTTTTCTTTTTTGCGAGATGTTGTTTCCATGTCAGTTTAGCATCCAAGTGTAGGCCTAGATATTTTACTGTTTGCTTTTGCGGTATCTGTATGTTGTTATTGTGACTGCTGGGCATATTGCGGTATCTGNCCGTTGGCGTTCCACAGCCCTATTCTTAGGAACTTGGCCATTAGTGTACTAGTTTGCTAATTAGCGTTGTTAGCATGTTAATGACCATGCTATTTTGTTGTATTAATTGACTGAACATGGCTTTAAATTCATTAAGAAATTGTGTTAGAGGACTGTTTGTTGGTTCTGGTGTATTAGCATCTGTGTTGTTTGATGGTTCTAGTGTATTGGCATTATTTGGATTTATGTTATTAACTGCATTACTATATGTTCTGTTTTGGTTTCCATAACTGCCCATATAAATGTTGGGTCTGGTGTTTACATTGTTTGAGATTGATGGGTTGGTGGCTCTAACCTTTATTGTTTGTTTTCCCCGGATTAGCCTGTGATAGTACTCACATCCTTTATAATTGGCGGGATGGCCTCCTCCACACAAGCCAACACAAACTGTCGTAATTTTCGTTCTAACAAAAATCTAATCGCGTGCTTCACTTTGGCATGACATGGAGCGCACAGAAAACGACGCGCCCAACGATTCTTCTATTGTTGCGTGTTTTAGTTGCCGCGGAAACGTGTTTACCGAGCCTCCGCCTACCAACGATAGGATGGATACACATGCAGACACACAGACTGATCAGAAAGATTTATGAAGTACGCCACTGAGATGGGCTCAGGCGCAATGATATACATGCCGAGTTTCATAAAAATTGGTTCAGGCATGCAGGGAGGAAGGTGATCTCATCATCATATTTTAATTTTTTTTTCAAAATCAGGCTAAAGTGCTCATTTAGTTGAGTTCCTTGAAAAACGCAAGAGTGATCTATGCTCTATCAATATTATAAGTACATACATATATACACGTATAGGCCTACATACTCGTACATACGTATATACATCATAGATAATACGAAGCAGTTCTTCACGTTGCCTGACACATCATAATCAGTGTTATTTTTTTATAGGTCTGTATCTCTTTTCGCACTGTTGGCGTTCCATGTGTTAATAAATTATCTGTCTTTGTTAGTTGGATATCTGCTTTGCACTCTCCCTTATAAACATACACCTCCATCACATCAAATACATCTGTGGAGTATTTGGTAGAACGTTGTTGTATATGCGTTATTGTTGTATAAGAACTGTTTCATTTGGNTATATATTCATACACAACATATTTTATACGAAGTGTAAATAGCTGTAATCTTGATTTACTGCTTTATTAGGTCCAAAAAGCTATGTAATTTTCAAAAGAATTTTCGAAATAAATTTGAAAAATAGAATTATAATTGTGATCTAGAACGATCGAACCCAAATATCATGGTAGTCACTAAGCATCGTTATAATCCTGACAACACTAAGCATGTGCACGTGTTACACGGACGCAAGTTCCGGAAAAAGAGACAAGCAAAATGGCTCACGTTCTGCAATGTAGGAATACAACAGCTTTGTAGTATTATTCTAACCAATCAGAAATGTTCTGTTGGAGGCTCCGTAATATCTCGTAAACAAAAGGTTGAATGAATGTACAAGGGGTGGGCCTTCGTGGCCCTTGCACCGCGACCACAGTGATCTATTGTGCCTCCCCTTTTGATTATCCCCTCAGCAATCCTGCACTTCGAATGAAGCGTAGGATTTAAACAAACGGTTAATAAGAACCTATTCACATTTCGAGACAGAGGATTGCGTGTGAATTTCTGGCTCCAACGTAAGCCAAGAAAACCAGTGAATTATCGACTTTTTGATGCTATATGTGTCAATAACAATTTGTTTTTCCGTACGAAAGATTTCCTTCAATAAGGAAAGTAATCTGGCAACCCAGGCCGCGCCATAGCTCAAGCGGTTTCTCGCTGGCTTCCCACCGTGGTGGCTCAGGTTCGATCCCGGGGTCTGGTAAAGTGAGACTTCTGGTGGACAATGTGGCGCTGGGGCGGGTTTTCTCCGAATACTTCGGTTTCCCCTGCCAATCTTAATTCCACCAAATTCTCCATCATCATAATCACTCGGGGCAGTCTACAATAGGCCAATCAGTGGCCGCCGTGCCGAGTGGATCCAGTTGGACTCCACCCCACACTAAGCGAATTAAAAAAATATATGGCAACCCGAAGATAGGATACACTACGTGGCAATAAACTCCACGAATGTCTATATTCTGAAAGCAATTTCCTTAATTTTTTTTCTTAAATGTCTCGCTTTTCAAATTGTGACTTACTGAGAAGACATTCTGTTTGTGTAAGTACGACGCCATTTTGGTACTAAAGCATAGGCATATGCCAGTGGCATGACAATTCTGAAACTTTCGGCAGTTCTGCACAAAAAAAAATGTTCTGGTCTTTTTGGGTGACGACAGTTAAATGCACCTGTGAGCAGCATGTGACTTGTCTCTTCTACCATTTCTTGGGTATCTCACCCAAGATGATGGTCATACATACAAACATACATACAAAAGCACAAACATGTGTAAGGCAGGTTACAAGTTACAGAAATGTGATGTTATTTTATACTGGTAATTACTACTGTCATCTTGTACTGTACCTCATTGTCATGATGGTGGAGACTGCGTGGTACATTTGATTCTTTCTGTTTAAGAAAATATTAACGAAAAGAAATATAGGGAGAAAATAAAAAGTAATGGAGGCAAGAAGAATGCAGAAAGGAACATTAATTAGTTGAAGGCACAACAACACATCTGTACATGCAAGAGGAGTCGCTCTCGCCCGAGTCCTCTTACATATATAAATACATTCACAGAATAAAATTCTCATCTATCAGAGGAAACCATTTTGTGTTTCTCAAAGCTGTTGGGTGTCCCAGTACCCAAAGCTTGACCAGGTAGCATTGTGGTTAACAAACCAGAAGTTCAAGAATGATGTCTTCTGGGATGTGGCGCTGTTCAGATCTTGTGTGTACAGATTTTTCGGAGGAACGTATCACCTCCATCTTCAGGGAGAACCAGTTGGTTCCTCATTTGCGGATTTTTCTACCCTGAAGATGGAGCTGATACGTTCCTCCAAAACATCGGTTCATACAAGATCTGAACGACGCCACATCCCAGAAGACAGCTTGCTTCATAGTCACAGCCGTGGAACCCTCAAATCTTACAAACCAGAATTTAAAGAATACAACATGATTTCCGACAGAACACGCACAGCTCAATAAGTTGATACCTTAGCAAAGCCTTGCCAATGAGAAACACAATGTGGATTATTGCTTGCACGAGATTTCTTTGAAAATATGTTTTCTTAAACAGAATAAAAGCTTAAATTTTGTCTGTAAGTTAAACACTATTTTTTTTCTTTGCGATTAATTTCATACAGCAAAGAGGGGGACTCCTGAAGTTGTTCTATGGACGCAAAAGTGAAATGGAATTACTAATATTAAGAACGCCATGGAAACCAAAGTTGTTAGAGAAGGATTACAACTTACTTTCCTAAGTTTAAAACAGTAAGTTCCCTCTTTTCTCTGTAGAATTTATAAGAGATTTTAAAGGAAATATTAAAATAACGTTACGCCCATCTAAAAGTACTTACTGTGCCTTATTTTAGGGCTAAAATTCATAAAATATTTCAAAGAAATCTTAAATATAGTGCAGTTGCGCTAGTCACATTAAGTTCTAAAGAAGTTAATTCACTCTTGTAACTAATAAAACTACTTAGGATCGATCTCATCAAGTACAAAATATGTTTGGCGATTTGAGGAACGACGACATTTTATGCTGCAAATGACTGTATGTTAACGAAATGGTGAAGATTCGAATGACGAGCAAGGCCAACAGAGAAAATCCACCATTTGCGCAACTACGAAGTTTTATCTTATTGATTCCTTCTCCAAATCTAAACGTTAATATCATACACAAAGTAAGTAAACTAAAGTAAAGTAAAGCTATCCCCGTAACAAGCCGTGGAGGCCCATAGAGCTGTGAGATGTTGAGGTTCCCACATTTTCTAGACAATCGGTTCATAGTTGGCAAGTTTGTCAGCCTTACGCGCCGGCCGTCCTTTACCCCAAAGAATATATCAAGAATATTCCTGGTACTCTTTTCTGTTAGAAGCTGAGTCGACCCCAGGGCCATAGTGCGGCTAGAAGGATTAGGTCAATTGAAAAAAATTCAATGACCTCATCCGGACTTGAACCCGCGACATTCCGGCTTTCAGCATAGTGCCTCAACCAACTACGCTACCGCGTGCCCCCTAATATTATACAGAAAGAAAGGAAAATTATTGCCATATCTAAGGTAGATTAGAAAACGCGAATAAGCTATTACATACTGAAGTTTCTAGATCTGTCACTCATCACAGTTTAGAAAGGTTCGTGACACAAATTAAAATTTATCTCAGTGCTAGTAAGACTAGACACAACTCTGCCATGATATCATTATCAGGGTTACAACTCTGAAAGCAGAAACACGCGTGGCTGTATATAAAGCGAAAGATTAGCTCGTTTCCCACATTTATCGAATCGGTATGTATCCAAAAAATATCATAACAGTTACATATTACCTGTAAATACACAGTACAAGATACGATGGGGTACCCAAAAGAAACAGAACTAATTTTTTTGTGGGCAGAGCTTTTGTAGTACCGCGTTTTGCCGCTATGAGCGCATAGAGCTAACATTCCTGAGTCGATAAAAGGACTAGTTTCGGCAGAGTTTATAGTGACAACTGTTTTGTGTGATCGTCGTTTTTGCAATGGCTGATTTTCGTGAACAGCGTGCGGCGGTGAAATTCTGCTTTTTGCTCGGGAAAAGTGGAACAGAAACTCTTGAAATGTTAAAAACGGCGTACAAGGACGATGCTATGGGGAAAACTCAAGTGTTTGAGTGGGTTTCCCGTTTCAAAAATGGTGAAATGTCAATTGATGACAAACCTCGTTCTGGTCGTCCTTCCACGGCCCGAACACATGAAAATGTTGAAAAAATTCGTGAAATCATCAAGGAAGATCGACGACGGACCATTGAAGAAATTGTGGAGCTGTCGGGAGTGACTTGGAGCTCAGCGGCCAGATTTGTGGCAGTCGGGTGACTGGGTTTTCCATCATGACAATGCCCCTGCTCACACAGCCCTCTCTGTACGACAATTCTTGACCAAAAATGGTATGACCCCTGTTCCTCACCCTCCATACTCACCCGACCTTGCTCCGTGCGACTTTTTTTTTGTTTCCTCGAATGAAAAGAGACATGAAAGGAAAAAACGACGGAGACGCTGTCTACATCTCAAAAGATGAATTTAGACAATGTTTTGAAAAATGGAATAAAAGACTAGACAAGTGTATTAGTGTAAGTGGAGAGTACTTTGAAGGGGATTGAAGGTTTGTGCTTAAAATTTGAATAAATAAGTTCGGTTTCTTCTGGGTACCCCCTCGTATTTTTAAAAGTAAAACACGATGTTATTAGAAAAACTTACATGAAGTAATTAAACAGGTCACGTTTGTTAGGAATACCCGATATAAATTTAAACATTTAAATTATGTAATTAGTGGAAGCAGCAGGAATAACAACGCAAGAGTAAAGTCGTAATTGTAGCGACAATTCTCTTTTGCAAACTGTACATTCCGTATTCTCCGAATTTATAGCAAAATATTATCTTTACCAGTTGAAACACGTAGTTCATCTAAACAATGCTTAAAAATTAAATTACTACAGCACAGAAGACACAATGAATCTCCATAACAAAGACAAATGAGTTAGTGCTGTTAGGGAACCAGTGAGTTAGTGCTGTTAGGGAACCAGTGAGTTAGTGCTGTTAGGGAACCAGTCGGTGTTTATTCTGAGAATCGTGAAATACTTGCGTGTACGCGAATAATGCACATGTATACTTGTTTAATTAAAAAGTGATTTGTATGGTTACCACTTTTAAAGCATTAATACACAGCCATAAAAGGCAAAAAAAAGTTTATCTCTGTAACAGGCCAGGGAGACATAGAGGCTCCCATATTTTCTAGACAATCGCCTCATAGATGGCGGTGAGGTTGTCAGCCTTGCACGCCGGCCGCCTTTTACCACCAGGAAGATTCCTGGTACTCATTTCTGTCAGATGTGTGATTCGATGCCAGGACCATACTGCGACTGAAAGGATTAGGTAAATTGGAAAAAAAAACCACCTCATCAGGACTCGAACCCGTGACCTTCCGGTTTATAGCACAGTGCCTCAACCAACTACGCTACCGCGTGCCCTCAAACACAACCATAAGGTAAACAAGTCCTGTTACATCAAGAAGAAAATATCTTTGGGTTAATTACTTCCACCACGTTCAACCAGTCTAAAAAACTCTGTGTTACACGCATGAGCAGACGGATATGCAGTGACGTGCTAACAGGAATGGCACTATTTTCCGCTAGCAATAACAGCTTTACGTTAGGCTGATACTGTAACTGTAAACGTTCTGTAGAAACGTACATAAAGTGCAGATCTTTGTGTCATGGACCTTCGTATTACTGCGAACAAATATTCATGCCTAGAAAATTATAAAAAGTCAAGATAAGAACAAATGTTACATGAGAATATGAAAGCCATTTAAAGGAACAAACACTAAAGGGCTTATGAAGAGGTCACTGCCAAATTCACACATAAAAACTACAATAACTGTTTTAAGAATAATATTCAAACAACAGAACACATGAAGAAAGCAGTCTTCTGGGATGTGGCACCGTGTACATGTGCTGTTAACCGACATTTCGGAGGAACGTATCGCCTCCATCTTCAGGGCAGAAGGAAAAATAAGAAAATCCGCAAGCGAAGAGACCGTGAGAACCGGTGCAAGCAGACTGCTTATTTTTCCTTCTACTTTGAAGATGGAGGCGATACGTTCCTCCGAAATGTCGGTTAACAGCACATGTACACGGTGCCACATCCCAGAAGAAGGTTTTCTTCATAGTCACCGCCGCGAAAACCTCAAATCTTACAACAGAACATATCGTCACCTGAGTATTGGAGTGTGCTATTGGGTTTGAAGATAGGAAATTAACTTCGGTTTAAACGTGGCTTAGAACAGAATAGGCTCTGAAATCTGAGGCAAATAACGTTTTCTTGTGGTGAAGTTGGTCAAAACAATATGGAGAATCAGAAAAGCGCGTTACCAAATTTTCGCCCAAAGCTGGAGATAGAACACTGCAACATTCAGGCGACAATATGTAACATTTATGAAAACTATGTAGCCATGAAGGAGCAATAGCAGTGTTACAGTAGCGACTGCAGGGTTATAAGTATTGGGGCAGACGGGGGGCGCCGTATACAAAGTATATATTATCTGCCGAAATAATTTCTTTGTATAAATATATTAATTACTGTCACAATTAATGTATTTTACGTCACATGTATAATAAAAATTTAAGTAGTATGGACACTGCATTCGTATGCCTGTAATGTCTTACTAATTACACGGAGCAGGTTCCTTCTAGAGAAGCCGCCAGTTCTTCGGCTATCCAAGAATTTTGTAACACTGTACGAACCTGAAAGCTCGTTAGTCTACTCGTATAAAGTTTCAGCTACTTTAAGCCTCCGAAAAATTTATCATCGCATTTTAACTGCGGAATGCCGGAATGAAATGTATATAAAAAGCTATCCCTGTAACAGGCCGTGA